AGTAGGGTTTCGGGGTGCCTGGGTGGCTCAGTCGGTTAAGCATTCCACTTGGGCTCAGGTTATGATCTCCCAGTTTGTAAGTTCGAGCTCTGCGTTGGGCCCTGTGCTGACAGCTCAGAGGCTGGAGCCTGCTTCAGATTCTGTGTCTCCTCTTCTCTCTGCCCCTCCCCTGCTCATGCTCTGTCTTTCTCTGTTTCTCAATAATAAATAAACATTAAAAAAAATAAAGGAAAAAGAAAGTAGGCTTTCTCAGGCAGGCCGTTGTCTAAAAAAAAAAAAGCAGAGTGGTCATTCTTCACAGGGATGAAACACAGGCCCTGTCTGGGTGGTTACAACATTTGGTTGCCCCTAGCAGTCAGGGAAGTTTAGTTCCTCCTGGTGGGGCCAGGATGGGGAGGCCCCAGACATGCTGGGCCATGCTCTGCTGAGGTCCCCACCACAGCCACAGTCCCAGTGCCAGCACATCTTTCCTCCTTCCTGTCCCTGATTTCCCTGGGTCTAAAGGCCTAGAGAGGCTATAGGCAAACTCCTCCCACAGAGTGAGCCCCAAACTGGTGCCCCATGATTCATCCTCTACTCCAAGTGCCAAAACCTAGGGGCAGCAGTGACTTTAGAAGATCATCCCCAAGGGAACATCTTCCTTTTCTGTCTCTAGCATTGGAGGAGGGACGCTGGAGTGAGTGTAGACAGCTAATAACCAGCTTTCTTACTGCCCTCCTCCATGCAACAGCGTTTTATTCATCCATCTGACAGACATGTACGGGGCTTCTCCTATATGCCTGACACTGGTATTTCTTTCTTTCTTTTTTTAAAGTTTGTTTGTTTGTTTGTTTAGAGTATGAGCATGCCCTGAGCTGAAATCAAGAGTCAGATGCTTAACCGACTGAGTCACCCAGGTGCCCCTGACATTGGTTTTCCGGCTGGACGCAAAAGTGAGTATCATAGTAACAGTAATAACCAACAACCACTAATGCCACCTCACCCAAAACTGTCTCGTGGACCTAGCCTTCAAAAATCTCCTGACAACTACAATACAGAGTGATTGTGCTAAGACGGGAGTGAGAACAGGGGGCTGTGGGGGCACGGAGTGGGGTCAACTACGCAGTGGGGTGAGGGGAAGGGAGGGTTCCATCTGACCGGAAATGGGAAAGGAAGAAGGCTGGGGGGGGGGGAGAGAAGTACCTCGGGTGTGTGCTTGGTGGGGGCGGTGAGTAAAGAGAGAAGAGAGTGGGTGGACAGACAGTTGGAGATAACCCACTGCTCTTCATCTCCGTGGAGGACCAGGGTGGAGAGGATGCGTTGAGCAGGAGGCAGTGAGACGCCATGAGGGGAAAGCCCAAGGAAATTGAGGCATCTCCTTCCCTTGAGGTCAGTGTGATTTCAGATGTTCTCAACTTCCTCCCTGGACAATGTTCCTCTCTCCTCCTCAAAGGCTGGAGCAAAAATAGTCATAAACTGCAGATCTAGATGACTTGGGCTCAAAATCTGGCACAATCACATCCCCATATTAAATCTGGGAAGCTGAAACCCAGAGAAGTGAGTTGACCTGCCAAAAATCAAACAGTCAAAAGGTAAAGCATGGTTTTCCTGTTCCCTAATCCAAAACTTTGAAAAAAATTTTCACTGAAACTTTTTTTTAAAGAAGGTCTAAGGCATTGGAGCATCTGAACCTTCTGCAAGGACACAGGAACTCAGGAATATGCAGTGACTGCCCCTTTCATTTATACAGAGGCTGCATTTAAGGAAAAACCTATACCAATTCAGTCCTGGGTCTCTCTCTGAACCAGAACAGGTGTGTAGCAGCCTCTTTTCTAGCCACACGAGGGCAGCATTGAGTCACCCACTGCTTCCAGCACCTAGCCGCACTTTGACAGGAAGCCCTTATGGGGACACTTCAGGAATGGGGAGAGGGACCACGCAGTGTCATTTGGAAAGATGACCTGAGGACGCTGGCTCAGGCCTCAGCGTACTCAGGGCCCTGACTTTGCTTCCTCAGCCCTTCCAGTCCTCTTCTCTCTCTGGTGTTTCTTTCTGGTTCCCTTCGCAGTGCCCCACTCCCAGCCTCCACCCACCCCAGTCAAGCTCATCTTCAGAAAACAGGCCCAGTTGCCATGGTGACCAGCTGGTCAGCTGGTTCCTTCCACGCCCCCTCCCTTCACCCCTCTTTCCCCTGAGCTTCCAAGGAAGGGTAATGTGTATGAATGGAGAAGGAGGGGGGGGGTTGTTGGGGGTCTTTTATGTTGGGAGCTCTGGGTTAGCCAAAAGGAGTTGGGCTAGCTCTCCTCCAAAACCCCGTGAGGTGGAGAAAGGCCGTAGGGGTGGGGAACACGAGGAAGATTGTAACAACTACATGGGGAGTGTGAGGATCCTATCCGGGTTAGGAAAGGGCAAGGTTAGGAACTCTGCACTCTGTCTGCAGTGAGGACTGAACTAAATGGAATGGGCTGAGACAAGAAGATGGGTTGGAGTTAGATGTGAGGCAGGACTTCCCACAAAGCATGGGTGGGAGACGCTGGAGTGAGCTACTAAGTGAGATGCCTCTTCTGCCCTGGGAACGAAGGAGAGGGCTCTTCAGGACCACACCCTTCCTCTGGGCAGGAAGGAGGGACTTAGTGGCTGGCATCGGAACATGCAGGCTGGGTAGTTCTGAAGCTGATCACCTTCACCTTGCCTGGAAAGAGAAGAGTAGGAAAGCGGAGGCAGGACCAGGAGTGGGGGTTTATGTGGGAGGTGGAGGCCGTGGCTAATCTGCCTGAGATGAGGGGCAGGACCATCCGGGCAGGTCAGTACGTGCTTGTCCCCTATTCCCAAAGACTAGATTCTCCCAAGCTTTGCCTGAAACTAACTTCCTACCCACAAACATCTGCATGGCCTTTAGGATGGGAAAGATCTGGATTCTATCATTAGCTCTGTGAGTACTAGCAGGTGACCTTGAATAAGTCAGTTACTCTCCCTCTACCTTGGTTTCTTGTGGGTAAGTGGGGGAGCAGTTACTATATGTCAAAGACTCTAATGTAACACATGGCAAGCAGTAGGATTCCACAGTGACTGTGCACACACAGAGTGAATATGCGTAACCTTTATACTATTTTTTTGATGTTTATTATTTTTGAGAGAGAGTGAGTGGGGGGGGAGGGGCAGAGAGAGAGAGAGACAGATAGTCCCAAGCAGGCTCTGAGCTGTCAGCACAGAGCCCGATGCGGAGCTCAAACCGACAAACAGGGAGATCATGACCTGAGCCAAAATTCAGAGTCAGACGCTTAACCGACTGAGCCACCCAGGTGCCCCTATACTATTTTTTTAAAGATTTTTTTTTTTTAATTTTAGAGAAAGTGGGAGAGTGGGAGAGTGGGGGAGAGGGGCAGAGGGAGGAAGAGAGAATCTTTTTTTTTTTAATGTTTATTTATTTATTTTGGGACAGAGAGCGGGGGAAGGAGCAGAGAGAATTCCAAGCAGGCTCCACACTGTCAGCACAGAGCCTGATGGGGGGCTCGAACTCACCAACCATGAGATCATGACCTGAGCAGAAATCGAGAGCTGGATGCTCAACCAACTGAGCCACCCAGGTACCACAGAGAGAGAAAATCTTAACAGGCTCCATGCTTCGCACAGAGTCTGATTTGGGACTTGATCCCACAACACTGGGATCGTTACCTAAGCGGAAATCAAAAGTCAGACGCTCAACTGGCTGAGCCACCCAGGAGCCCCCCGCCTTTATACTATTTTATCGTATGATTGGTCCCCCTCCCTAATTAGACTTTGTACTCTTTGAGGGTAGAATATCGTATGTTTCATTTCTGAACAGGGTACACAGTAGGGATCTAATATCTGCTTATCGAATGGATGCCTCCAGGAACGAATGGATGTCAGTTTTCTTTCTGCCTGTCATAAGCAGTCCAGGGAAGAACAGTATAGGTAGATGGCAGGAAAGGGTAGGCTACTCGCCACTGGGCTTGGGGTCTATGATTTTGCCTGCACCCACTGAAGAAGGTCAAAACCTTAGAGACTGTCCAGTTAACTTTTTCGATGCACAGATGAGGAAACTAAGGCTTAAAGAGCAGAAGGCACTTACACAAGGTCACACAACCCCTTAATGGCAGAGCCAGGATTACAAATTAGAACCCAGGTTTCCTGATCTCCAGCCTAGGTCAATGTACACACTTCATTCTTCTTCGGGGCTGTTCTTCTAGGGGAGGAAAATGGCTCTGTGAAGCCTGGTTCCAGTGTCCTCCCCTCTGCCCTCTGTTAGGCCTTTCTCATATCTAGCTTCAATCCTTACCCTATTCCATCTCTGTTCAGTTGGGTCTGGCCTCTGAAGGCTAGCTCCTGCCTTAACCCGTTACCACCCAGGTGGGAGTAAGGATCTTCCCTAGGGTTGCAAGGCTCAATTTCCTCTCCCCACCCTCAGCCCCAGGAACTTGCGGGAACCAAGGATGGGGAGGGATGTTGGCTGAAGCGCTGGCGCCCCCTCCACGGAAAAGGGCCAGAGAAGAGTTGCTGCACGGATCCTTCAAGGATGGGGAGGGAGGGGGGCGGTGCGGTGAGCAGGGCTGGGAGTGGGGAAGGGGTGCGGGGAGCCCCTGTTGCTTCTCCTCTTTGGGGGGTGGTTATTAGGTAGGCTTGGGGAAGGCGGAGTTTGGGGGGCCGGGGGCGGGGCTCCTGCGCTGGGAGGAAGAGGGGGGGCGCGCTGGCTCCAGCTCGGCTCAGACAAAAGGCGGCGGCGGGAGCGGGCGGGAGGCGGAGCGGCGCCGCGAGGGCCTCAAGGTGACACCCGCCCCCGGCCCCGGCCCCCCCGGCCCGGCCCCCCAGCCCGCCTCCCCATCCCCAGCCCCTAGCCCCCTACCCCCCGGTGCCCTTTCCAGGCCCCCTCCCCCCGGCGGGGGGTGGGGAGCAGCGAGGGCCCCGCCCCCTCCCGCCCCCTCCCCAAGGCCCGCGCAGGATGCCCTCGGCCCCCCACAGCCCCCCGGGAAGCCCTGAGCTCGACGCACCCCCTCTACGCCATGTCCCCCCCTGGCTCGGCCGCGGGAGAGAGCGCCGGCGGCGGCGGCGGCGGCGGCGGCCCCGGGGTCCCGGAGGAGCCCACAGAGGCGGCGGCGGCGGCGGCGGCGGACGAGGGCCCCGCCCGAGAGGAGGTGAGAACAGGCGGCGCCCCTTCCCCGGGCGCGGCCGTAGCCTGGTCCCCCATCCCCCGCCGCGCGCGGCCCCCGCCGGTTCCGCCGCAGCGCGGCCGGCGCCCCGCACCCCGAGCCGGCCGCCGCAGCCGCAGTCCCGCGCCGGTGCCCCCGCCGGCGGCCGGAGCTGTCCGCGGTGGCGGGGAAGGGGCTGCGCCGGGGGCGGGGCTCGGGGGTCCCGGGCAGGGGGAGGGGCCTAGGGGCGGAGCCTCGCGGACCCCGGGCGGAATGGGGTGGGTCCTGTTCCGCAAGGGGATGCAATCTGGAACGCCAGGAAGGGCGACTTGCAGCGGCTACAGAGGCAGAAGAGTACCATGGGGAAACGGTGGTGGTACATGAGCTGTGGTCCTAAGAAGGTCAAATGTGTACAGAGGCGACTCCCCCCGGGGTCACTGGGAGTGTGTGAGGGCACCTCTCTCCCAGTGTCCAGGCAGTTCCCTCACTCCTGGGTGGGGGGCGGCCCTGAGTCCAGGAATCCTTCCGAGTGGTGGAAATAAGCGTATCCCTAGTTGGAGCCCTACTCTTCAGTCCTCTGAACCCGGAGACAAAGAGACTGAGGAAGGTACCGGTAGCACTGGTCCCCTCCCCCCCACCTGCCATGCACACTCGTGCACACACATATACACACTGCACTTGGGCAGAAGCACCTGGGCAGGGGCGGACTTGCAGGTAGAGACCCTTTCAGATGTGCTCTCAGAGGGACAAGTGCACACTCAGGGGCGCACACAAAGGTGCACATAGGCACACGCCCCCAAGGACGAGGCTCCCAGAAAGGTACATGTACCCTAATCTTGTTTGTATATGCTGTGTGCTATTTCCTAGCCCACCTACCTATCTGCACTTCCAGATCTTTCCTCTCATTTCACACCAGGCCCAGGGCCTGCTGCCTGTTACTGTGCCCTTCCTTTCCACCCTCTCCTCCCTCCCCATGGCTAGCCTCCAGGTTAGGCCTGGGGAATTGGAGGAAATCAGGATCTAGTAGGAGGGTGTGTGTGAGGTTTTTTTTTTTTTTGGGGGGGGGGTTCCTAAAGCTAGACAGCAGGGAGGAGGAGTTGGAAGGCACAGCCCACTACCAGAAACCTAACTCCATTCTCATCTCTTAAGTGGCTGCTGCGTGCTCGCACCCAGGTAGGCACCCAGGGTGCAGAGACTGAGACCCTGCCCTGAGGAGCACCCAGTGTAGACATGTAAACAAGTCAGCAGGGCAACCATGGGGCAGAGCAAGCTCCAAGAAACATTTCCTTTTGACACATGGCTGGGCTGCAAACGTCTTCCTCCCTGACCCGCTCCCACCCACTCCCACACCCCCTTTCCCCAGCCACTTGCCTCTGCCCTTCTGGACGTCTCCTCCTGGACTGCCTTCTACTCAGAGATGCCAGTCCTCTCCCTCCCATCTTAGAACCGGAAAAGCATGTCAGGGTCCGGGAAGGAGATGCACAGGGGGCCCAGGGAAGAGAGCGTGGGGCAAGAGTCAGAACTTAGGGGTTCCTGCCCCCTCCCCGAGGAGGGAGGAGACTGATTGTGGGGAACGGGAAGGTGGATGGGTCAAAGAGGACTGGCTCCGTCAGAACCTAGGACTCAAAGAATCTGGAAGAAGTGAGGGCCTCACCTGTTAGGTGGGAAAGTGATGTCAGTGGGTCCCTCCCCACTTCCCTGGAGCACCTGCAAGGAGTCCTGGCTGGGGACCTGCCTTTCCTGATGCCTATCTGTCCTCCCTTGTCTTCCCCATCCACGCCTTCTCCTGTTTCATTGCCATCTTTGTGTCTGTCTTTGGACTGTGTTTCTCTGGGTGCCATCCTACCCATCTGTGTCTTCGCTGCCACCTGGGCCTCCTCCCTCCGTGTCTGGCTCTGATCCCTCTCTGCCTTTTGGGGTGTCTCTCCCTTTCTCTGCACTTCCCTGTACTGGCATTCCATTCTCGTTTCCTGTCCCCGTGGCTCATTCTGGGTCGTTTCTGCTTCTGTCTTTGGTCCTCGGCTCCCATCCCGGTCTCACCTCTTCCCGCCACGTCCCTGCCTGCCTGTCATCCCTGACGCTGGCTTCCACCTTGCCATCCGTCTCTGCGCTGGGTCCTGCCACTGTCTCACTGCCTGTTCATCTTGGACCTTCCCCTGTCCATCTGAGCAGCAGCGTCCCATCCAGCCCTCTTTCACCAAGTCCCTCTGCCGTGAGTCCCACTGGAAGTGCCTGCTGCTCTCGCTGCTCATGTACGGCTGTCTGGGGGCCGTGGCCTGGTGCCACGTAACCACGGTGACCCGCCTCACCTTCAGCAGCGCCTACCAGGGCAACAGCCTCATGTACCACGACAGCCCCTGCTCCAACGGCTATGTCTACATCCCCCTGGCCTTCCTGCTCATGCTGTACGCCGTCTACCTGGTGGAGTGCTGGCATTGCCAAGCCCGCCATGAGCTGCAGCACCGTGTTGATGTGAGCAGCGTGCGGGAGCGCGTGGGCCGCATGCAGCAGGCCACGCCCTGTATCTGGTGGAAGGCCATCAGTTACCACTATGTCCGCCGCACCCGCCAGGTCACCCGATACCGCAATGGAGACGCCTACACCACCACCCAGGTGAGGGGCTGGAGGGGAGCACAGGCCAGTCCCGATGGGAGGGGGGTGCTGGGACCCTGACTGTCCCCAGGGGGAGGAGCACAGGCCGCAGTGAGCTCTCCTGGACACTGCACCCGGAGGGCAAGAACCACCGTAATAGTAACAGCAAACACTAGCAGCAAGGCTCTGGCCTACCTGCATTACAAACACCAGATGATTTATTTAAGCTTCATAACAACCCTATGAGGTAGGTAATTACTATCCGCGTTTCACAGATGAGTGAAGTGAGGCTTGGAGAGGTTAGGACCTTGCCAAAGTCAAACAGTAGGAGCTGCGATTTGAACCCAGGCAGGCTGGCTCCAGGGTCTATACTGGTTAGTGCTTAATGGTTGGAGATGGCTTCACATGCACTATCCCACGGCATCCTCTCACCTGCTTAGTGAGGGGGCTGCTACCAGGGCCCTTTTCACAGGTAAGGAATCCTAAGCTCAAGGACTTGCCCAAGATGTGCAGCTCCTTACTGGTAGTGCTAGATTCAAACCAAGGGCCCTTTGCCAAGCCCAAGGCTCCCAGAGGTGGGAGTCTGCTGGCAAAATGGTGGAGGCAGGGCTGGGAGGCCTCATGGAGAGGTGGAGTGGGGGCCAGTTAGCACTTACTGGACCTTTCCGGGTTAGGCATTACTCCAGACCTGGAGAAAGAGACCTTCTCAGATGAGGGTGACCCCCGTCTCAGTTTTGGGATGGGTAAACAGAAGCCTGGATCCTGTGAGACTCGGGAAGGGGGCTGGGTGATAGCTAAGGTGGGGACAGGGAGACCAGAGACAAAGCCCTCGGACAGGGCGCTTCCCTGCCCATGAGGGAGCACACCTGTAAAAAGGAAGGGCAGGTTATCTGTGGCCACGAGGGGGCAGCGTGGGACACGGGGGACGGCAAAAAGATCAGGCAAGCCCGAGGGCCAGTTCGAGGCCAGCGCCTGACCCCCTGACGAAGCAGAGCTTAATTCAAATTAGAATACACCCGCAGGTCTGAGTTCTGGCCCCGTCCTCCTCTCTAGTCGATTACGCTGAGGGCCTGCGTTGCTCTAGAAAGCAGATGTTAAGATCCTAACCCGGCTCCAAGCGGGCTCTAAAGCAGGGCAGGCTTAGGGTCCGGGCAGGCAGCAAGAGCGGCGATGGGGCGGACGAGGGGGAGCCGACAGAGGCGACTCCCGCCGCCCTCCCCGGCGCCGCAGGTCTACCATGAGCGCGTCAACACGCACGTGGCGGAGGCCGAGTTCGACTACGCGCGCTGCGGCGTCCGCGACGTGTCCAAGGCGCTGGTGGGGCTGGAGGGCGCGCCGGCCACGCGCCTGCGCTTCACCAAGTGCTTCAGCTTCGCCAGCGTGGAGGCCGAGAACGCGTACCTGTGCCAGCGCGCGCGCTTCTTCGCCGAGAACGAGGGCCTGGACGACTACATGGAGGCGCGCGAGGGCATGCACCTCAAGAACGTGGACTTCCGCGAGTTCATGGTGGCCTTCCCGGACCCGGCCCGGCCGCCGTGGTACGCCTGCTCGTCCGCCTTCTGGGCCGCGGCGCTGCTCACGCTGTCGTGGCCGCTGCGCGTGCTGGCCGAGTACCGCACGGCCTACGCGCACTACCACGTGGAGAAGCTCTTCGGCCTGGAGGGTCCCGGCTCGGCGAGCAGCGCGGGCGGCGGCCTGAGCCCCAGCGACGAGCTGCTGCCCCCGCTCACGCACCGCCTGCCGCGGGTCAACACGGTGGACAGCACGGAGCTCGAGTGGCACATCCGCTCCAACCAGCAGCTGGTGCCCAGCTACTCGGAGGCCGTGCTCATGGACCTGGCGGGGCTGGGGGCGCGCTGCGCGGGGGCGGCGGGCGGCGGCTACGCGCCCGCGTGCCGCTACGGCGGGGTGGGCGGCCCGGGCGCGGCGGGCGTGGCCCCGTACCGGCGCAGCTGCGAGCACTGCCAGCGCGCCGTCAGCAGCTCGTCCATCTTCTCGCGCAGCGCGCTCAGCATCTGCGCCAGCCCGCGGGCCGGCCCGGGGCCCGGAGGCGGCGCGGGCTGCGGGGGCAGCCGCTTCTCGCTCGGCCGCCTCTACGGCTCCCGGCGCAGCTGCCTGTGGCGCAGCCGGAGCGGGAGCGTCAACGAGGCGAGCTGCCCCACCGAGCAGACGCGGCTGTCGAGCCAGGCCAGCATGGGGGACGACGAGGGCGACGACGAGGAGGAGGCCGGGCCGCCGCCGCCCTACCACGACGCCCTCTACTTCCCGGTTCTCATCGTGCACCGGCAGGAGGGGTGTGTGGGCCACAGCCACCGGCCGCTGCACCGCCACGGCTCCTGCGTGGAGACCTCACTGTGACCCCCGGCCCCTGGCAGCCCGCCGCCCTCCCTCCCGCCTAGCGCACGACTGAGCTGCCTGCGTGCCGCGGGGGGGGGGGGGGGGGGGGGGGGGGGGGGGGGGGGGCAGGGGTGGGTCATGATGGTGACTGAGGCTTTGCGGGGCACGGCGCGGGGAGCAGGGGCCGACGGTGCGCGGGACAGACCCCATGGGGTCGGGACCCCTGCCTTCCCTGTACATAAAGAGACCGATGGGTGGGGAGGGGATCAGGGGGGCTCCGGAGAAGCCCGCCCCTGTCCTCGAGAGACGCCTGTCTGCCCTACACGCACACTCGAGGTTTCCCGTCCAGCCTTTCAACGGATCTTCCGACTGTTAAGCGGAGACTGTTCTGTGGCGCCGCGTGGGGCGCGTCTCAAGGGCGAGGCCCTCGCTGTCCCCCTGGGGAGGTCCAGAGGCGTGGGGAAGGCAACTTGGGGCTTTCCTTCCATCGCCGCCTGGCCGCACCAGGGCCTCTCTCCACTGCGGGCGCGGTGGTTTGGTGCACAGCAAGCCGGGCTGGCTTCCGACCAGCTAATGAATTCAGTGGGTCTGAGGCCGGGGCCAGATGTCAGCCCCGATGCGTCATCCCCAAACCGTGCAAATGATGCTGTCCTTTTCTGGCGCTGGCCCCAACCACTGGGGTTTCCTTTCTGCCCCTCCCTTCGCTGCTGTTTATCTCGCTGGGCCCCTGGAGTGTGGGTCCTGGAGGGACTGTGCTCACACCACGCGCGTCACTCCCCTCCCTTCCGTCCCCCCCGCGCCACCCCCGCCCCCCCCCCCCCCCCCCCCCCCCGCTCTCTAGCCCTGAAGAGCAGTTGCCCAGAGAGGAGGGAGGCATAACGTGGAGGGCAAGTACCTCAGTCCTTTCTCTAAATTCTGCAGCCTCCTGGAAGCAGCCTCCTCACCTGGGTTCTGAGAGGGCTCTCCCTTCGGTGTGGGGGGCGGGGGATACCCCCAGGCGCGGTCATTAAAGCTGGCCAACGTCAGTGAGTGGGACAAGTGGGAGACAGACTTGGGTGACAAAGGGGAACTCTCGGAGCAGGTGGGGTTCAAAGAGGAGAGAGCAGTGGAGGGAGACGACAGGGGTATCTGGGGCAACCCTTGCCTTCCCCAGACTTGGGGGGGGCGAAGGGTGGTCACCCCCACACATTACCCCTGCAGGGCTGAGGATGTCCTCACAGGCCTCGGCTGGAGAAATGAACTCAAATCCAGTGGCAGGGTCAGAGGCAGGATTTCTCTAAATCTCACCCAACCCCTCTGTCCTCTCCCATCCCATGAGCTGAAGCCCTGCAGTGGGGCCCAGAGGGGCATCTTACCACCACCCAAGGGCGCTGGTCCCACGTCTTGGTCCCCTAAAGCTCCGACACCGCCTTCTTTCCGCCACCACTCCTGCCCTGATGTGCTTCAGTGTGCATGTCTGTGTACAGCCCCCTGCCCTCCCGACTCTCCTGGCTAAAGTTTTCCCAGCAGACGTAGTGCCCAGGGATTGAGGTCACATTTCAGGCTGGAGAGGATAACCTTTGGGCTGCCACCATCGTTCACCCCTGATGCTCCTCACTTTGCCTGAGCCATTAGAGCCCCTCTGCCCCCTCCTTCAGCCTCTCCCATCTTCTTCCAGCCTCGCCAGGCCTACACCTGCCAAGGACATGGCCTCCACCTATGCAACATCTCCTCTGGCTCCCCCTTCCCCCTTCCCTTGGGGGACTTGGGAGGTACAGATTGTGGGGGACACCACGGCCCGCCGCCCACTGGGGTTGGGCTTTCCTATCCTGTAGAGATGGCTGAGTGGGAAGGCAGAGGAGGCAGGAGAAGGGGAGGCTCGGGCATGAGGGGACAGTTGCCCACTAGGTTTCCCTGGGCAGCAGTGACCCCTGCCTGCCAGCATCGAACCTACCTGGACCCTGAGTCTGTGCTCCTTGGGGGCCTGGAGGTTGGGGCACCCCTCTTTCCTCTGAACAAACATCTATGAGGTACAGGTGGTGTGAGCTGTGGCCACGGGCCCCAGTTCTTGGCACCTGGATGTCATACCCTTGGGCAGCCTGGCCACTTCTCGGCTCCAAGGAGGAAGGAACTCATCACCTTCCCCCTCAGGCCTGTTCCTGAGACAGAGCCCGAGCTAGGAGGGAGGGAAGGGGGGGCCGCTATTATTAATTTTGCCTGTATTGACCATTTCTGCCGAGGTCTTTCTTACGCAGACAGCCTCACCTTCCACACACGCACAGACTTAGAGAGAAACCAATTCTTTGGTCTATTTTCTTGGTAGCTTTATTGATTGCCAGGAAAAACGAAAACCAGAAAATTAATTAATCTCTAAAATTAAACTTTACACTGAATGTTCTTGTTTCTCTAATTAGAACCTCTGCTAGCAGCTGTGGCTATGTACACACACACTCACACTCACACTCACACACACCCTCACATCTACACGTTTGCACTCCAGAACTGTCAGAGGGTGTCAGGCACAGACAGACTCTAGGTTGCCCAGACAGGCACACAAGTGGAGTCACTCCCCAGCCCCCTATGGTGCTCTGCTTGGCGCCTGCTTGTTGGAAGGCGTCCCTGGAAGGCAGGCACCCCTGGGCTGTGGCTGCGGCCCGTGGCTCAGCCTTTGGAAAGATCACGGGTCTGGAGGCTCTGGGCCCCTCAGCGGGAGGAAGATGGGAGATGGGGGCTCAGCCTGACTCTCTCAGGCCCTCTTGTGGCCCTGTGGGTTGACGTGACTCCTGTGGGCAGCCCGGGAGTGCTGGGGACTCGTGGAGGGCACCTGGAAGGCTCCATACGTGCGGGGGACAAGGGCTTGCGGGGTGGGGTAGGCTGGGCCTGGCTGGGGAGAAGACAGGTCTCTGTCAACCGGGTGCATCACACTGTGGCCTTTCTGTCGTGGATTTCCAAGCGCAAAGATTGTACAAATCAAACTGGTGGATAATAAAGTTGCGGATGACTCACTGACTTCCTTCCCCAGTGTGGCACCTCCCCCGCCCTCTCCCCGTCCTAACAGAAGCTAGCTGGGGGAGGCAGTGAGTCTGAGCCCCTCCTGTCACCTCTGTTTCCCCCTTCCTGGGTGTGTGTGGGGTAGTGTTAGGGGATGGCGTGGCCTGTAGAATGGGATCGCTTTCACAGGGTCAGGTAATTGGGAGGTAGCATCTGCAGGGGTGAGGGTGGAAGAGCCAGGCAAAGCTCTACTGTGGTAGCCAGAGGAGAGAGACTGTGTGTGTGTGTGTCCGTGCGTGTGCACACTTGCATGTGTCTGAAGGTCAAGAAGTCAAAGATCTGTTCAGGAAAACGGTCGGGAGAGGGGTCAGGGAGATGGGTGGCTTCTGGGGAGAATCTGGGCTGGCCTTCAGAGTCCTCTCTGCCTTTCCTAATCCTGGAAGAAGTTGGTCATTTCAGAGCATCTGGTAATATCCTCTTCCTGGATACAGGGGATGGGTCCCACTTCATACCCCTTCTCTCCCCCTATCCCAGACCCCTCCCCTTCCTCACATCTTTATCCAAACGACCCTGGCTCACTCACCCTAAGGATAGCTGTGGTCTCCACCTTTCTCCTCCCTCTAGACCAGTGTGACACTCTCTCTACAGCAGGCATGACAGAGGCATGAAATGAGGGATGGGGCTGAGGCAGTGACCCAGGTCCAGTCACCGCCCTGGCCCCGGCCCCCATCTTATCCTGCAGGGTTCTCAGAATCCTTGGCAGAGACTGGTGACATGAGGTGGCTGGGATTCAAGGTCCGCTGGCGGGCTGCTTCCCGGTTGGCACAGAGAGCCTGGCCAATGAGGTACTCGCTCTCCTGGGCCACATCTGACAGGCGCAAGTCAAACTCCAGGAGGGTACTGTTGTCTGACATGCCTTCCAGGAGCTGCTTCCCGCCATCCTGAGAGAGGAGTACAAGGGAAAGGGTCATTTTATATCGCTACCCAGGATCGCACACGCACATGTGTGTATACACACATACACACACTATATAAAGCTGTGACTGGGGTAAGAGTTTCACAAAACAATGGTTAACCTATTTGTGCACCGTGCTAATATATTCTGTTCTAGGTTATCCTACCCTGTTCCATTCTCTTCCATAAGAAAAAATGGTGCCCAAGACTTAGGAAATTGGTTTCTCAAGCTTAATGGCTTGAAAAACATGGCCCTGTGGCAATGATGGTACTTCCGTTCCTCTGGTTCAGCCATGGGTATATGTGAGATAGATCTGGCTGATGACATCTGAGGAGGAGGTTTGGAGGGAGTGCCTTCTGGAAGGTTCCTCTCACTCTGAAAAAAGAACAAGAGAGAGAGGTGCTCTCCCTTTTTTTTTGCCTCTGAGCATGACCCTTTGTGAGGTGCAGCAGCCATCTTGGGACCGTGACAGAAGCGTGACCTGACAGGACGTGGCTATGTGGCTGGATGGGCAGAGCAGACAATGGCACTGAGCCAGGGACTCCAGAAGCCGCTACCCGGGGGCTTCCGACTATGGGACATAATCAACATTCCTCTTATTTGAGAGAGAGCGAGCGAGCAAGCAGAGGAGTTGCAGAGAGAGGGAGAGAGAGAATCCCAAGTAGGCTCCATGCTGTCGGTGCAGAGTCTGATGCGGGGCTCGAACTCACAAACCATGAGATCATGTCCTGAGCCGAAACCAAGAGCTGGACACTTAACTAACTAAGCCACCCAGGCGCCCCCACTGTTCCTCTTGTTAAAGCCATTTCCTGGTTCAACTTTCTGTTACTTGTAGCCAAAAGCACCCCATCTGAAGACAGTGTGTGTGTGTGAACAAGACTGTTTTCTGGGGAGGTTTGGTAGAGGGTGCAGGGTCCTCTCTGGAGTACATGGAGGGTCCTTCTCACTGGTCCTCACAGGCCAGGCCTGGTGTGAGACACTTTTATGTGGGAAGCAGAATTGCTGCTCTTCTGATTGTGAAGAGCACAACACATAATAGTGTGTTGCAAAGTCAATTTAATGGGTTACAGATGTGTTTTTAGAAACTGAAGTAGAATAGGGGCTTGGTAGGTTAAGTGTCCGACTTCAGCTCAGGGCATGATCTCACGGTTTGTGAGTTCGAGCCCCCTGTCAGGTTCTGTGCTGACAGCTGGGAGCCTGGAGCCTGCTTTGGATTCTGTGTCTCCCTCTCTCTCTGTTCTCCTCAACTCGCTCTCTCTCTCTCTCTCTCGCTCAAACATAAAGATTAAACAAAGAAAAAAAGAAAATGAAGTAGAATAGAATATAAAGGAAAATATCAACATGTATCACAAGCAGTAAAAGCACATTTAAATGAAAACAGGTTGACGTATGTGTTCACCATGTATTCATGTAAATTGCATCCCTTATTCTGAAACTTGGTCAAGAAAATGGGAGACGTCATCTATGATGAAGGACTCAGGTTTTCAATTAATTCTGGGTTGGAATCACAGCGCTGCCACTTTCCAATGACTGGGTGCTCTTGGGCAACTCACTAACCCTCCTGAGGCTCAATTTTCCATTGTAAAGTGGGGTTGAGAATAAACATTCTATGGACTCCCGGGTGGCTCAGTGATGGAACGGCTGACTTCGGCTTGGGTCGTGATCTTACGGTTGGTGAGTTCCACCCCACATCTGGCTCGCTGCTGTCAAGCCTGTCAGCACAGAGCCCGATTTGAATCCTCTGTCCCCCTCTCTCTGCCCCTCCCCACTTGTGCTCTCCCAAAAATAAATACATATTAAACAAACAAACGAACAAACAATACACTTTCTACTAGGAGAGCCTGACTGGCTCAGTGAGTATAGCATGCTACTCTTGATCTCAGGGTTGTGAGTTTGAGCCCCATGTTGGGCGTAGAGATTACTTAAAAATAAAATCTTTAGGGGCGCCTGGTGGCTCAGTAGGTTAAGCGTCCGACTTTGGCTCAGGTCATGATCTCAACAGTTGGTGGGTTCGAGCCCCGTGTCGGGCTCTGTGCTGACAGCTCAGAGCCTGGAGCCCACTTCGGATTCTGTCTCTCCCTCTCTCTCTGCCCCTCCCCCACTCGTGCTCTGTCTCTCAAAAATAAATAAACGTTAAAAATTTAAAAAGAGGAACCCTGGGGCGCCAGGGTGGCTTAGTCGGTTAAGCGTCTGACTTTCGCTTAGGTCATGATCTTGCGGTTCGTGGGTTCGAGCCCCGCGTCGGGCTCTGTGCTGACTGCCAGCTCAGAGCCTGGAGCCTATTTCAGAGTCTGTATCTCCCTCCCTCTCTGGCCCTCCCCTGCTCACGCTGTCTCTCTCTCTCTCTCCTAAAAATAAATAAAAATATTAAAAAAAAAAAAAAGAGGAACCTGAAGGATAGCAATGCCTAGCATAGGCTATACCCCTGAGTAATAGTAACAGCTAGCGATTCTGATGTCCTAGCCAGTGCTTGCAATGTTAACTGCATTACAAGGTTAACTCATTTAATCTTCCCAGCAGCAACACTTAATAGATGCAATTTGTATCCCAGTTTCACAGATGAGGACATGGAGGCTCAAAAAGGTTGAGGAATGAAACCAAAACGAATGGCAGAGCTGGGATTAGAACCAAGGGAAGTCTGTGGTCTTAGCAGTTATCCTGTAAGCATCCCAAGGCAGTTGGATGCCACACCCAGCCCCCAAGGCCCCAGGGCCCCTCCTTGGCCCTGCCTGCCCAGGAAGGTGCAGCTTACCAGCCCGATGTGATTGCAGGACAGGTTGATGCTGGTGAGCGTGGTGTTAATGGCGAGCACCTGGGAGAGGAGTGTGGCGGTGGGCTCAGACAGCTCATTGCCACCGAGGTGCAGTGTTGTGAGGCACCTATTGGTGTGCAAGGCATGTGCAAGTGCCTGGCCGCCCTCATCCTCAATGCAGTTGAGGCGCAGGTTGAGGGAAATGAGGTTGGTGTTGTGTGCTAGGGCGTGAGCCAGTGACTGGGCACCAGGCGCGCGCACCTGGTTGTTGGCCAGGTTGAGCACTCGCAAACGGCTGTGGCTCAGCAGCTTGGCCGCGGCACGCACGCCCCGGTCCCCAATGAGGTTGTGTGACAGGTCCAGCTCCTCAAGGGCTGGGTGATCCAGGAGGCTGTGAATTAGGATCCGTGATTTGTCGTCATCCACCTTGCTTCGGGTCAGCCTGAAGACCTGTGGGCAGGTAGAGGGCATGCAGTAGCCGGCAGTTAGGGATAATTTGTCTGCCTGCCTACCTACCTTCTGCAGGTAGAGGAAGGGGCCACAGGGAGGCCTGACTTTCTGCCCATCTGGTGTAGGCCAACTGTCTGGCCCTTGGGCAAGGCAGGCCTCCCCCACGTGTTAGAGCAATGCCAAACTGGTGGCAGGCAGTAGAAGGAAAGCCTACCATTTATCGGAAACTTACTATGTGCTGGGCCTGCTGGTAGAGCGTATCATAACCATTACTTCTAACCCTCAGCATCCCAGTCAGGTAGCGTGAGTTCTTTCCACTTTACGGATAGAAAAGGAAAGCTTAGAGTGGATGCATTATTTGCTCAGAACCACACAGTGATCTAGCCCCAGAGGCAGGTTTGAATCCAGGTTTGTTCGATGCCCCAGCCCCTCACTGTGCCCTCTTCAGCTGGCTAACATCCACCATGGCAAGAAGGGGAATTCTTGGAAGGAGGATAAGAGACAGGAAATGGAAGAACGGAAAGACAAGATGAAAGAAAGGGGTCGGACTAGCACAGGGAATATTGGACGTGGGGGCCCTAACCTTTCCCTTCTCACCTGCCCTTCCATGCCTCCCTCTTCCTTGAGGCCTCTCCATGGTCTCCCCAGCCTTCAGTCCTCTGCTTTCTCTACATCCCTCTTAGCCAGCTTAGAGAGCCTCTTGTCCCTCATGTCACTTCATTGTACCTATCTGGCAAAGCTCCAACCAACCATGGATCAACCCCACTCTCTAGTGTCTGTGTACCTGTGCCCAAGCAACTGACATGACGGGAAATGTCACATGACAGGACCCATATCACTGGAGCCATCAGTAGCCCCTCAATGCTGTGTGCCAATTCAGCCCTGTTTCTCGGGACAACGTACTCTCTCATACTCTATAATAATGACGTCAACCTTCTCCAGCCTTCTCACACTTCAGGGGGCCACTCTGCAGCCTCCTTTCAGCAGGTACGTCTCCTCCTACCTCCCCAGCCATTGAAAGGGAACCCATTGTTTTCCTAATACCAAACACAAACCCCCTGCTACCCACCACCTCCACTCTCTCCTCTGCTCAGAGCCAACTGTCCCACTCAGTCTTCAATTCCACTCATCTTGCCTTCTCAGGAACCTTCCTTGGTCAATGAACGTGTGGCTTTCTCAGCTGCTTTCTTGCTATTGGATGAAGCTTTACATTGGATTTAATTAATTAATTAATTCTTTTAAGAGAACGAGTGCATGTGTGTGGAGAGAGAGAGAGAGAGAGAATATCTCCAGTAGGCTCTATGCTCAGTGAGGAGCCCGATGTGGGCTCGATCTCACAAACAGTGAGATCATGACCTTAGCTGAAACCAAGAGTCGGACACTTAACCCACTGAACCACCCAGGTGCTCCTACATTGGCTTTAAATACAAGCAAGTTTCTTTTTAAGAAAACTCAAACCTTTCATCTATTACCTATTTCCCCTTTGCCTCCCTTCACAGCCAAGTTCTTGAAAAAGCTGATCACAGCCATCCGGTTTCCTCACTTCCCACTCTCTCCGTAAACCACTCTGATCTGGCCCCTGTTCCTGACAGTTCCAGCTCTATGACCTCCGAGTTTGCTAAATCCGGTCCTCAGCGTCATCCCTGTCCCCCCACCCCCATTGCTGCCTGCCCCTCTTCTTGACACACACCCCTCCCTTGGCTCTGTGACTCAAGGCCATGTCCCCCTTTCCCTCTTTCTCTGACTTTTTGGCAGACCAGAATATTTGGGGCATACTCTACGAAAAAATTTTTCGTTGTGTATTTGAATTTCAGATTTAACTGGGTGTCCTGTATTTTTATTTGCTAAATCTAGCGATCCTATCCTAGTTGTAATTTTACATTTAGATGATTGCTGATTAGAGCCTTTTATCCCACCAGACTCTCAGCTCCAGAGGGCACAAATGCATGATTTTGCTCATTGTTGAATCTTCAGCACCTAGGACAGGGCCTGGGGAGCAGATGTTCCTTGGATGAATAAATGGCTAGTGAGCTGGGAGGACCGTGCCACGTTCATCTCCGCATCCGCAGAACCCAGCTTGGTGCAGGGTGCAAAAAAGGACACTTGGTCAGCGAATGAGAAGGAAATGGGAGGGGGAAGATGGAGACAGAGGAGGAGGAGGAAGAGGGGGAAGGGAGAGGGAATCCAAGAGGCGCAGTGAATGGATGGGAGGTGGGGAAAGGCGAAGAGGTACCTTGAGCGTGTGGCAAGCCTTGATGGTGGCCGCCAGGGAGTGGCAGTCGCCATAGGTGAAGAGGAAGAGGTTCCACTCGAAGTTCATGCCGCAGTCCTTGACCCCGTACACCAGGTCCAGCTCCTCCAGATGGCTCAGGCCAGCCACCAGCTCTCCCAGCTGGTAGTGGTCAGTGGCCGGCTCCTCCATCTCTGTCTCGCTGCCGGAGTCGGACGGATCCCCGCCCCGGGGCGGCGTCGGGAGCTTCACAGGCGGAAGGAACTGATGCACGCGAAGCCTGCGCACGTAGTCCCTGCAGAGCGGCAGGAGGTCCAGGACCACCGCGGGGTCCGTGGTGTTTGGGATGAAGTGCTTTAGCAGGTTCTCCAGGTGCCGCTCGAAGAACATGCGCTTCCAGCTGCCGCCATGGTTGGCCACGTGGCACACGGGCCAGCGCTGCGTGCAGCAGCGGCGCCAGTAGCTCTCGTCGTGGATCAGGTTGGCGGTCACGGCCAGCGGCAGGTTGGGGGACAAAAGGTCGAGGACCTTCTGCTTGTGCTCTGGAAGCAGCTGCTTCAGGATAGGGTTGTCTTTGGGAACAGGAAGGAAAGCAGAAGTCACAGTGTTGGGGACACAACAGCACGGTGCCCTGGGCCGGGCCTGCCTGGGGACGCTGAAGAAATGGAAGACCCTCCCCGGCCCTCGGGGAGCCCCAGTCTGAGAAGGGAGACAGCCTGTACTCTTAGGGATGCTCAGTCTGAGGGAGGAGACACAGCCCTTGACTTTGGGGTGTTCCCTGAAGCTGGACGTCTTAGTATCTGGTTTCAGGGAGCCCCTAGCCTGAGCAAGCATCTCGGGGCTGGCCCTCAATTATCACTTAGTCTGATGGAAGAGATAATCCTGAGTTCAGAGACTCCCAAGTGATTTGGGTCATTCATTTCAGAGCAAAAAATTTTTGAGCATGTGCTGTGCACCAGACACTGTTCTTTTTTTTTTTTTAATTTTTATTTATTTCTAGGGGAGAGAGAGAGAGAGAGAGAGAGAGAGACAGCGTGAGCAGGGGAGGGTCAGAGAGAGAGGGAGACACAGACTCTGAAACAGGCTCCAGGCTCCGAGCTGGCTGTCAGCACAGAGCCCGACGCGGGGCTCGAACCCACGAACCGCGAGATCATGACCTGAGCGAAAGTCGGACGCTTAGCCGACTAAGCCACCCAGGCGCCCCCACCAGACACTGTTCTAAGTGCTGAGGCTACAAGAGTGAACAAAACAGAGGAAGCCACTCCCTCCTAGTGGAGAGGAGGCAGACAATAAATAAGTAAAGCGAATATATTGTAGGTCAGGTGGCGACAGGTGGTCCTATCCTGAGAGGGCTCAGCATCCAGTAGGAGAGGCTGGTGATTCATCTTTGAAAAGGATGAACGTTTAGTACAGAACAAACTAAGAACGTGTACACGCTGTGGAAGGCTCTGAGAGAGTGAAGGATAGTCAACCCCGGAGGACTTTCTGGAGGAGGAGTTCAGTAAATGTGGTTTGGGCTGGATTTTGCTGGAGAGAGTGGGAAAGGTAAGGAGAATGGGAAATGTGGGAATGGTGAGGAACTGGACATGCAGGGCACAGTGTAGGGGGAATCTGGTGAGGCCTGAAAGTGGAGACCATGGGAGAAGCCATTTGGCCTCAAGGAGGAAGGGCAGTGTTGAGTGGGGCTGAGGACATGGTGTGGGAGGGCAGGGACAGCCCTAGGACTCAGCTGCTGGGGCCTCGCCTCCGGGAAGTCTGCACCCACGCTGCCCCACTCATGGCCCTTCCCTCCCACCCAAGGCTGGGCCAGACTCACTCTGGAAGTTCTGGACAATTTGCTGAATGCAGAGCTCAGTGAGGAGGGGCACGATGGCCAGCGACCACTCAGGATCCTCAGCGATGATCCTGCGCATGCGATTGGCACTGGCTCCAGAATTCCAGCCCTTGGGCTTGCTAGGGGGTGGGACGATCGAGGGCCTTAAGGGCTGGGGGACTACGCTCGAGGTTTGAGCTACACTAGAGGACTTGTCCTGGGTGGAGATGGAGGATTGGCTGAGGGCCGACAAGGTCGGTGTGTCTACAGGTTCCTGCATGCTGGGCACTGGCAGCGTGGGGGCAGATGGCCCCTCGGTGACGGCCTTATGATGGGGAGTCTCTCAGACTGGCAGGTCCTTGATGCCCATGGGAACCTGGAGGGAGGGAAGGAGCAGAGATGTTAACTCTTGGAGGGTCTCAGTTTGCGTTTCGCAAGAGGGGCAGCACAGAGTGGTTCTTAAGGGTCCATCTCTGGGGTAGAGCAGAAGCAGGTACAAATCCCGCTGACTCGCTGTGTGGCTCTGGGCAAGTTACTGAATCTCTTATAGTTTCATGTGCCTCCTCTGTGAAGGGAGGGTAACAGTTACCAATAAGGAGTGGGAGAAGTGAATAAAATAATGCATCCAGGGGCGCCTGGGTGCTCAGTCAGTTAAGCGCCCGACTTCGGCTCAGGTTATGATCTCACCAGTCGTGAGTTCGAGCCCCACATCGGGCTCTGTGCTGACAGCTCAGAGCCTGGAGCCTGCTTCAGATTCTGTGTCCCCGCTCCCCCCCCCCGCCCCGCCCTTCCCCCACTATGCTCTGTCTCTCTCTTTCTCTCTCTCTCAAAACTAAATAAAAAACATTTTTTTAATTTTTAAAAAAATGCATCCAAAGAGGCATGGTATACTGTGGCACATGGATAATAATACCTACACAGCAATTATAAGCAATTGATATATGTTGGACACTTTTTAAAAAACAGTTCTTTATCCACATTAACTCATTTACTCCTCACAAAAGCCTTTTTGCGATAGGCACTCATATTTTTCCCATTTTTTCCGATGTGAGCCTGAAACAAAGAGGGGTTAATTGACTTGCCCCATGTCACACAGCTTATAAATACCAAGGATGGATTTATATTCAGTCTATCAAGTTCATACTTAAATTTTTTTTTAAATTTATTTTTGAGGGAGTGCAAGCAGGGGAGGGGCAGAGAGAGGGGGACAGAGGATCTGGAGTGGGCTCTGCACCGATAGCAGCGAGCCTGATGTGGGGCTTGAACTTACAAACCATGAGTTCATGACCTGAGCCAAAGTCAGATGCTCAACTGGCTGAGCCACTCAGGTGATCCCATATTCTCTTTTTTTTTTTCCTTAAGATTTTATTTAAGTAACCTCTACACCCAATGTGGGGCTCAAATACATAACTCCGAGATCAAGAGGTGCATGCTGTACCAACTGAGCCAGCCAGGTGCCCTTCAAGTTCATACTCTTCACCCTACATTGTACTGCCCCTCTGAGGGTGAGGGGCGGGGGTGTGTATTGCCAAAAGACCAAGGTGTAATAAAAAACCATTTAGTTCAAAACAGCTCCTGTGGTTTCTTTTTGTTTTTACAGAAAAGCAACCGCCTTACCAGGGGGGTGGGGTTGAGAACAACACTGGCAAATAGAAATACAACGCAGGTCAAAAGTGAAGTCATGTATACTATTTAACATTTTCTAGCATCCTCATTAAAAAAGTAAAGAGCAGCACCTGGGTGGCTCAGTGGGTTAAGCATCCGACTCTTGATTTCGGCGCAGGTCACGATCTCACGGTCATGAGTTTGAGTAAAGAGAAATGGGTGAAATTTAATTATATGCTTAACCCAGTATGTCCAAAATATTACCACTGAATATGTAACCAATATGAAAATTAAAATGAGATATTTTATGTACGTTTTTTCATACTAAGCCTTCAAAATCTAATGGCTCAAGAGCCACACGTGGCTAGTGGCTACTGCCTTGGATAGTGTAGGCTGAGAGAAAGGAGGGGGGGAACCAGACCCAGGCTCTGTCCAGGGTGCCAGTACCTCCCCTCCCCCTCAGGGCTCTGGCTCCGCACCCTCCCCCCACCCCCCCACCCCCCCAGTCAACCTCCCGATCCAGTCTTCCTAGTTCTCCCAGCCTCCTGGCATTCCAGACAGCAGCAGGGAAGGCGTGGGAGGCGAAAAGGCAGCTAAATCTGGGGCTGAAGACAGAAGACAGAGGATGTATCTGGGGCTGGGGACCCTCCTCCGCGTTTGTCCGTTCCTGCCTCCTAGCTGCAGGTGCCCTTGCCCTGAGATTGCAGGCGGAAATGGGGCCGCTCAGCACCAGCTCCTCCTCCAGGCCATTTCCCTTCAGATTTGCTCCCAGACTCGGGTGCACCATATAGTGGCCGGTGGCAAGGAACACTCTGAACCAGCAAAGGTGTCCTTGGCAGATGGAGGGGACCAGATGGTACTCCCCAGTCCACCAGGCATCTCAAGGAGGAAGAGCTTGGCTGTGTGTGTGTGTGTGTGTGTGTGTGTGTGTGTGTGTGTGTGTGTGAGAGAGAGAGAGAGAGAGACAGAGAGACAGAGAGAGACAGAGACAGAGACAGAGACAGAGAAGGGGGCAAGGGGCAGCATAGGAAAGGTATCCATGTATTTGTGAAATCCTTATGCAAATCAAATGCAAATTCACAAACACACTGTGTCCAGATCTGTGGACTAACCAGCTGGTGTATTTGACTAATAGCCCCTCAGAGGGTGTGGCTGGGAGGGGCTGGTGCTTAGAGGTGCCCGATGACTTTGCATTTCTGGCTTTGCCAGTGACTTGCTGTGTGACCTTGGCCAATTTACTTAACCTGAGTTTCAGTTTCCTTATCTGTAAAACAGGATAATGGTATCTTCCTTATGCAGGCTGGTGTAGAGATTCCTGAGATAATATTTGCAAAGAGGACTTGGGGTGGGGGGAGGGTGTGAAGGGTAAAGGCACTATGGACGGGGGTCTTAGGCAGGGGAGACAGGGGAGCCCTGCCTCTTGAGGGCTGACCTGAGATGGTAATCTTGGGTAAGGTCCCTCCCTACCTCCAGGGGAGAGGCGGAGGACAAGGTGGCAGTGGCGGTGTTCGGGGCTGGATAGGATGGAGGGCCCTGGCAGTCTGGGCACAGGAGGAAAGAGACGACAGGGGAGCCCTGCCCCTGCCCACTCCATGTCTGAACCCCTGGGGCTCCTTCTAGAAGTTCCCTCCGGAGTTCTGGCCTAAAACCTTCGCGTAGTCCCTTTGGTCCCAGACGCAATCCCAAGAAAGCAGGATCCAACTCGGCAGGGGGAGCCCCGGGTTTCCGGACGGTGTTGCCCGGAGCCGACTCTCCAGGGGTTTCTCACGACACTGCTGGGCCTCACCATCCAGGTCGGCTGTTCCCTCTCCTTCCTCCTGGGAGGACACATGTTGGGAAACCCCACCTGGGGCCCGGCGGGCCGCCATCTGGTGTCACTGCCTGATGCTTCATTGTCTCAGGACCTGGCACCTCGTCCTGGGATCTGGTCCTCATCTTTCCTGCTGCTGTTTGGAGCCTGTAGCCACCTCTGGGCGTGACGCCGTAGGACCCGCCCCAGGGTGGGTCCCGGTGTCCCGAGCCACCTCCTCAGAGGAAAGAAGCCACGCAGCCCTCCATGTGCCCAAGGTCCATGACTGGTATATTTTTTTAAAAAAAAGCCCCTATTGCCCCGCGATACTTAACAGAAACCACCAAACCACCAGGTCTGACGTCATTTGTAAGGCAAATGTTGAACCCATTTTCCTCCTAATAAGGTAGGACTTGATCATATTCACTTAGTTGCTTCTCGATTTTTGAAAAAGGAGATATTACAAAAATATATTTGGTAAGCAAATTATTACTAGACACAGAGGATTCTCTCTTCTTCTTCTTCTTTTTTAAAGAGAGGGAGTGCATGTGTGGGGGAGAGGGGCAGAGGGAGAGAGAGAGAGAATCTTGAGCTCCATGCTCTGCGTGGGGCTCAATCCTACGACCCTGGGATCATGACCTAAGCCAAAATTAAGAGTCAGATGCTCAACACACTGAGCCACCCAGGCGCCCCTTTTCCTATTTTCAAAGAAGTTTTTTCATTTCAATTCCAATTAGTTAACATACAGGGTAATATTAGCTTCAGGTGTACAATATGGCGACTGGACACTTCCATCCGCAGAGCCACGCCCATCCCAGCAAGTGCACGCCTTACTCCCCTGGTCCATGTAACCCATCCGCCTCCCCTCTGGTAACCATCATATATTAACCAACTGGAAATTAGATACAAACTTAAAAGAAAAGACGATATGATATAAAGCAGGGTCTCTCCCCGGCAGGGGGTACACCTGACCCCTGCCCTTCTCGCCTGCTGTGGGGCCGCCATTCTTTCCGCTCTCCTCCCACCTCTCTGACCATTCTGGAAGTCTCCGTTGCAGGCCCTCCGCACTCTGCCTGCCCCATCAGGTGCTGCGGCCTCCCTGCGACCCTGCCTGGCTCCTATGGATGCTTGCAGCTCTCACCTTTCCTCTGAGCTCGACTCAGGCCTCCCAGCTGCCTCTCACTCTCCTCCAATTGAGTCTGCACCCCAAGAACCCAGAGCCTCCCCCAAGCTGCTCCTCCTCCTGGCTCCCTGCCTGGCCAGGGACACCCGGCCTCCGTGTCTGGTTACTGTTGGATCCTTCCAGTTCTACCTCCTGTCCACGCCCCCCCCCGCCCCCCCCTTGCTGTTGCCTTAGCTCGGGGCCTCCCTGCTGGCCTGGATCCCAGCTGTAGTTGCCCAGCACTTGGGGCTGGCAGCCAGCACGGTCCTCACAACTAGCCTTCCCGCAGCTGCCACGGCCACTCGCTGGCCACCGGCCACAGCCTGGCTTCCTCAGCTCAGAAGAGAAGGCCCTCTGTGACCCGACATTTTGTTGGAAGTAAGCTCGCTTTGCATCTGGAGCTCTGCGGGCTAGTTCACGCTGGCCAGCCTTTGCCCAAGCGGTTCTCTCTGTCTGGAACGCCTTTCCCACCGTCTCAGCCTGGGAAAGGGACTGTCCTTGTCCTTGATCTTTCAAGTCTTGAATTTCGGTACCGCTTCCTTTCTGAAGCCTTCCAGCCTTTCTTGTCCTCACCCCCTCCCCCCCAAAACCCTCTCCCTTTATGAGACCCTTGTACTGGTGTCACTTCAATAACCTGATTGATTACCCTCTCCCCACACCCACGCTAGACCGTGAGCTCCTTGAGGTGCCGGAGCTGTTCTAGACTCCTTTTTCTCCCTAATCCCTGGCCCACGTCAGGTCTGCTTTGCAGGAGGGAGCTGGAGTTCTGAGCTGCCCCACCCCCTTCTGAGAACAGATCCTGGCCAATAGGAGCGTCACATATTGGTCAGGGTGATTGGCTTAGGGGCGGCCACCTGATGCAAGCCAATCAGGGTCCTTCTTGGGATTTGCCGGAGCAGCGGGGACGTAGACCAAGGACGGATGTCCTTGAAGGCTACTGATCCCGGGCTGCTGGAGGCTGTTTGCCTTCGCTTGGAAACTGTCTGCGGCAGGAGGGAATGAAGCCCGGGAGAGACCAGCCGACATGAGAGGTGGACACAGAGCACCCGGTACCTTCCGTCCCCAGGCTGAGGCTCCGAGGCCCCCAGAGCTGCCTGGTCCCTCTGGTTCTGAAACCCACTTGGCAGCCTTTCTAACAGGTCCCTTTTGCTAAAGCTGAGTTCGGATTCTGCCCCTTTGTGGCCAAAGGGTCCCGACCATTGGGGTCGGCTCACAGTTTGGTGAATGAAATTATGAAAAGAATCCCAAATCAAGAGTTGAAATAGTTCAGCGGGGTGTCCGAGAAGGGCCAGAGGCCCCAGGCTTATTATACACAGGGCTTGAAACCTAACTCCTGGGGCTTCTTCCTATCCTGACCACCCTGGGCCTCCAGCCTCACCTCTCATCTCTCCAGCCATCAGCAACTTGACCTCCTCCCACTTGGCAGTCACAAGCTCCTTTCGGAGCTCTGCTGTCATTTAGGTCTTGCAGCCGCTCTGCAATGGGGGCGGGGCAGGCTTCTTATCCCCATTCTATCATCCCCATCTCCATTCTATGGATGGAGAAATGACTGGTCTGAGGACCTCTAGGAGGGCTGGGCCCGGGGCCTGAAGGCAGTCCTCGGCTTCCTCTCACCACAGTGCACTGCTCTTCCACAGTCACTTGCTGTGTCTTCTCCCCACACCTTTCCACCCTTCCCTCAGAAAGAAGAAGGCTTCCTAGGAAGCAGGGGTCCTCAGACACAAAGAGAACCTGTCAGGGAAGGCCTCCCCAGGCTGAGAGAACAGCCAGATCCAGACCCTGGAGCCCCACTATGGACATTTCAGTCCCCTAATATATACATATAAATATATATATGTTTACATATATTACATATATATCTCCTCTCTTATCAACCATCCACACTTTAGTGTGAATGAGTTTCAGATCCAAAATGCCAAGTTAGGAAGGGGGCAAGAACACACCACTGAGTGGGGAGAAGGTTGGGAGGGGCCACAGGAGAATAAGTCAGGGGACCTGAGGTAAGTCCACCTACCTCACCCGGTGGCCTTAGTCTGGCCTAGGCAGTACCAGTCTGCAGCTGTGGGTATCTTCCCTGGGGGATGGATAGACACCCTTTAGCCAGGGGGTGCAGGGGCACCCTGACAGCTTCCAAGGGCCCAAGAAGGACAGCCTCAGAAGTGGCCGTCACTTTCCTTTCTGGAGCACTTTCTGGAGTGCTGTCCCCCTAGGGAACCTATGGGGCAGACAGAGAATCCCAGAGTTTGCAGACTGGACGCATGTTTAAGACTCTGATCCTGCCCCGGGGCAGGAGTCTTCTCTGTTGCTCCAGAGAGAAGGTTGGGGCCAGGGGCGTGATCACCTCTTGTGCCACCACCTGGTGTCCCTATCTAAAGCACACCTTACCCTCGGGTGGGGAAAGTGGGGACATGCCCAGTGACCTGTCATCTCCTGGCACCTGTCTTACAGGCCTGCTGGGCTGTTTCACCAGCATCAACGTAACCCCCACGGGACCACAGTCCCCGCAGAAAGGCCAGTCCTCCTCCAACCGGGTTCCCACCCTGTGTCCTTGGGACCGGGGTCCGGGGTCCTGAAGTCACATTCAGGCCATAACTCAGAGGATTAGGTGTTAAGGTCCACTTTCTATGTGCCCAAGCACAGGTAATAGAAAGGGACAACATGCTCCATTTTGGCCAGTCTGTTATCCTCATTTTGGATGGCTTGTGTCCGGTGGACAAGTGTTCTGGAAGCCATTTCCTTGACCATCCACAGCTATGATTGATTGAGTTTTGGGCTCTCAAAGCTCTCACAGCAGGAAGCGGCTGGCTCAGGGCTCAAGAATTACAATGCCTTAGGGCCAGTCTCCCCTCTGCCCCCTAGCATCTGTGAGACCTTGGGTTAAGTCATTTCACCCCACTAAGCCTCCACTTCTTTATCTGTAAAATGGGATGGTAGTTAATGGGATCTACTTCCTGAGATTATCCAGAAGATTAAAGGAGCTGATGTGTGTGAGACGTTTCATGTAGTGCTGGGCCCAGAGCCAGCACTCATAATATGTGTTTGATATTGTGATGTTACGTGACTTACCTACATATGTTTATTAAGTCTTTACATTTAGGGGTACCTGGGTGGCTCAGTTGGTTAAATGCCCCACTTTGGGTTTAGGCTCAGGTTACGATCTCACAGTTCGTGAGATGGAGCCCCACGTTGGGCTCTGGGCTGACAGTGCAGCCCAGATTCTCTCTCTCCCTTTCTCTCTGTTCCTCCCCTGCTCACGCCCTCTCTCTCTCTTGAAATAAATAAACTTAAAAAACAAATCTTCAGGGGCGCCTGGGTGGCTTAGTCGGTTAAGCGTCCGACTTTCTCTTAGGTCTTGATCTCGCGGTTCGTGGGTTCGAGCCCCGTGTCGGGCTCTGTGCTGACTGCCGGCTCAGAGCCTGGAGCCTGTTTCAGTCTGTGACTCCCTCTCTCTCTGACCCTCCCCTGCTCACGCTGTCTCTCTCTCTCTCTCAGAAATAAATAAAACATTAACAAAATAAAAAAATCTTCATATTTATTATTGGGAATTATTACTGCTATTATGACACTATTATCTCCATCGCACAAATGAGGACACAGGCTTAGCGTAAGTAACTTGCTAAGCATCACATAGCTAGTAAGTGGAGACGCTATGGTTTGAGCTGCTTTCCACCCAAAGCTGTCGGTTACTTCCAGGCACCAAAGCAGAGACAAACACTGAGATGTTGGGGTTCCTTCCTAAGTTGCCCAGACTCGGTTGTTCACAGCACTTTTCCAGCGGGCCTCCCACTTTCTCCAGCTCATGATCTCTTGTCATGTCACCAAAGTGAAGCCGGGGGTAACCCTTCTGATGCTGGCCTACACAGCCCAGGCTCCCTCACCTCCTAAACCACTGCCAGGCATGGGGCCCTTCCAGACCCGGGCCATCGCCTGCGTCCTTCAGCACGAGGCCTTCTGGGGACTCCAGAACATCCCGCGGAGCTCTGCTCTCCCGCCCCATGGCTCCCGCCGGCCTGTTGTAGAGACCTAGGATTCAGTGCCTCCGCCTCTGGCTTCTTCCCTCCTCAGGGGTCTTAGACCTTCGCCGTTCTTATCAAGTCCCCAGTTAAATATAATCACCGTGGGCAGAGGCTTCGCCCGATTGCCCAAGTGGGAGAGTTGAAGAGGGAGGAGGAGAGCCCTCACCCCTTCCTGATCATCCTATTCTGGGCCCTTGTTCTCACCTACCTTCCTCTTTCTTAACTGAGGAGCCGAAGCACCTCTGTTCCCCGGAGACATAACCTCTGGGCTGGCCTGGCCTGAGGGCTACACCCCGCCCCCCTCCACCCGCCTCTCCCGCCGTGCTTCTACCTTCTCAGCTAGCTCCTCCTTCTTCACCTTAGATTCCCCAAGAACCCTCCCCTGGCACCTGTTCTCAGGGCCCTGAATGGGCCCTTTTGTCTTACTTCCCCTGATGTCTTCTGTGCCCCTGTCAGATCATTCCCAGATTCCCACTAGGGAATTCCCAGTCTGTGAAACCATGAAAGAGGGACAGCAAAGTTTCGCTGACAAGTGAGACAGCACACTATTCACAGCCCTGGGCCCGGCCCTCCTCCCAACTCATGGCCACTTGGTCGGTTGTCTTAAAAAGGATTCCAGAGTGTTTGCTCCCCACCCCTCACTCCCGCCTGGGGCTCAGATACCCCAGCAGGGAAGTTCAGCTCCAAAGGCCAGCGAGTCCCTCCCCCACCCTGCCTGGGGTGCGGAGGCCCAGGCAGCTCCTTGGTAACCAAGGGAAACCAGCCTTGCTGTGGGAGGGAGGAAGGGAGGTGCCGAAGTTACTCGACCTGCAAGAGGGACTGCAACCAGCAGGAGCTGGGATGGGGGGTCAGCCTTTCTGAGATGCCTGCGGCCCGGAGCTCACAACTGCTCTCCTCCACCGCCTGCACGACGCCCCACGTTCCCCTTCCTCCTTCTCACGGTGCCCCCCCGGACCCCCTTACTCGCAGACCCCAAGCCTGCAGATGGTGACTGTAGTGGAGGAGGCAAGGGTCCAGCTTCAAACGGGTGGGGGTGAGAGGCTTCCGGCGGGTACAGACCCGCCCGGAGCCAAGTTAACCTGAGCTGGGTGGGGGTGAGGGTTGGCTTGAGAGTTCAGCCCCATAAGGGAGACCCAGGGTTGAGTGTTCTCTCTTCCGGGGCTCACCTCACCCACTCTCGGTGCCCGGCGCTCGCCTCCCTGCAGGCCCCCGCGCGGCCTGCGCCGGTCGTTAGGGACGCCCCGCGTCGCCAGGGGGCGGGTCCGAGGGCTGTTGCGCATGTGCGCGAGTACACCCGCGTGTGCACCCGAGTCTCGGCTGTGCGCGATGTGTGGGTACTGGGAACTCTGGCCGTGGGGCCTGCTCTGTGGATCTGGGGAAATGTTTAGGAATTGGTGGGCTTTTTCTTGGAGGGAAGATGAGGCATGGGGGCCGGGGCAGAACTCCTGGACTATAGTGCTGGTCCTTGTTGGTAGCTTTTGTGTGGAAATCGGGGGGGGGGGGGGGGGGGGGGGGGGGGGGGGCGGGGTGGCGAGTGGAAACCAGTCTCTTCTGGAAGGTGTAGAGGTGGAAGGGCACCAGCAGGGGTTACTGGAAGGCACCAGACAGTAAGGTTCCAGGTCTCCACAGCGCTCCTTCACACTGCCCTCAACTTTACATCCCCACCCGGCCCCCTCTGACTAACTTCAGGGGACTGGCTAGTAAGGCAAATTGTCCTTCAGGAAGGGAGTAACAACCAGGATGGTGGGAAGTTTCACACGGAGGTGGCTTAGCTTTGACCTTCAGGTGTCCCGATTCCTAGTGGTTACCATGGGTAAGTTAACATCTTAGAAGCTCAGTTAATCCTTCAGCGGGAACCGGCGAAAGGTGGCCACAGGATGCGGAAGTAAAGCTGTGCAACTTCACAGGGCCAGGCAAGCAGCTGGGGTTCAGCGGAATCCGGCTGGACACTGGTCCTTTGCACGCCCTCTCACCAGTGCCATAATTAGGATGAGAAACCATGCAGGAAGCCGGGCTCTGCGCTAATAATTTTAACTAAATGGCCCTAGAACTCAGTCACCAGGGAGTCTTTGCTCGAAGACGGGGCCCCCTGAGGTCCTTTCCTTCATCCAGCAGCAGAGATTTGGGAACAGAGGTGGAACTTGAGTCTGGCTTGGTGCTGACTGGACTCATTCTGCTAGGGAAGGAGTGCTGCCCTTCATCTCTTGGCTCCCTCCTGCTCTGAGCTGCTGGTCCTCAGCTTCAGCTCAGGCCTGGGGCAGGTGCCCTGGCCCTGCTCTCTTCAGACCCCATCACCGGCCACTTCCCAGCTCCCCCCTCAGGACCCCTGCACTGGGTATGTCCTCAGCCTGGAGCACTCTTCCCTCAGAGACCCTCTTGGCTCACACCCTCCCCTCACATGCCACCTCCCAGGTGAAACAGCAGTCACCCCCACCCTCCTTATCCCTGCTCCGCTTTCTCTGCGCACCTCATCACTGCCTTACATCCTCTACCTTCTTTTTGTTGCGTATTCTGCCACTAGACACAAACCCTAGTGCAGGAAGTTTTCTCCCTTTGGCTCTTAACACACTCTCAGCAACTGACCTGTCCCTGCTGCGCATTTGATCAACGAATCACCAGGGCCTTCGCTAAAACGTGAAGTCGCTGTGAATGAGATGAGTGACACCAAAGTGGATCTGCCTTAGTGTAATGACTTTCGTAAGACAGTTGTGGATCTTGGCGGCCAGCGAGGCCTTTGTGGGTGCCCGGGCTGGCAGGGAAAGCCTGAGCACCTGTGGCCATGAGGATGGTTCTGCTTTGGATGACGGGTGACCATTCCATCCAGCGGGAGGGGTCAGCCGGGTGATGGGGCACCCATACCAGGTTGCTGGGAGGGGAAAGCTGTTCTTTTTTAAGCAAAAGAACTTCCGGCACTTCTTGGCTGCACTAAAATACTTTTTGACGAGCAATCACGCCAAGGCAGGCCATGGCTTCACATTCACCCAGTTGGGGTGTGTCTCTGGGCCCGCTTCGGCCTTCCACAGCCCCATCTCCTTGTCCACACGGGGCCGGGCCCAAGGCAGACCCCTAGGGCTCAGCTGCCTGGCTTCCAGCTTTCAGTTCTTTGCTTCAGCCTCCGGGGAGGCTCTGCTGGCACCTGCAGTGTTCCCGGCGATGGCCCGTCTGCGGTGTGTTCAGTCTGTGTGAGTCCCTGGCGAGCCCGGCTCAGAGCTGGTTGAGGGCGTAGGTTCGGGCTGTACTGAGGGCACCTTCCAGGTCAGCCGTGGTTCCGGTGCCCTGAGCCACCACTTGAGAGCCCCAGGCCTTGCCCCCCATGTGGCTGCAAACCGCCAGTGCCCAGGCCTCTGCTGTGAAGGCCGGTGTGGTGCCCTGGGGACCGAGAGACAAGGGGCAACGATGCAGAGCAGCCCTCCCCACCCCTGTTCACCCAGTCTACTCTCGAGAGTGGCATCATGGTGATTCGTGCCCCCTCCCCAGCTGGGAACATGGTAGGGAAATCAAGTCAGGAGACAGGAGAGCATGGGGCTGGGAATGTGTGTGGAGGTTAATGCATGCCTGCTACTTGTCTGCAAGGGATGTGTGGCCTGGAGGGAGTGGTTCGAGTTAGAGAACCCCATGGTGCCGTCTCTGGTTGGGGGTGCTGTGGTTAGGGATGAGACGGCCCCATCCCCGTCCTGGGGTGTCCTCCTAGATCACCTCTCTCTAGCCTTGGAGGAATCAAGGGCGTGGAACTGGACAGCTGGATCAGCAAGGGCGAGTGGGGCTGCTCTCCAACTTTCCTCACCTGGGCCACCTGACAGGCACACAGCACGTGCCCCAGCGGCTGGGGGCTGAGCAGTAGCACAGACGTGCGAGGCGCCCGCTCACATAGCTGCCGTACCACCTTCACCAGCACCTGGGCAAGGAAGGGCAGACGGTGACCCCACGGCCCCCTGGACTCCCAGCTACCTCCCAGTCAGGACTCTGCCCTCCCCAGACCCTGGGGCCACCCAGCGCCAACACTCACTGAGAGGGACTCGGTGGAGACCGTGTCCACAATCAGGGGCCCCTCTGAATGCCGCTGCAGCAGCTCCTGGGTTTTCTGCGCAGCCTGTGGGGCAGGAAGGACGGCACGGGGATCAGGGAGGACGGCAGCCGGGACCCACTTTTGAACCGAGCCCCCATCTGCCAGCAAAAGTCTTTGGCTTGGAGCAGAGGGGCCAGAGGCTCTGCCTCGAATGGCCTGTGTCCTTCCTCTCTTCTGTCACCTTGTCCCTTTCACCATAGCTCCAGGACCCTACAAATAGGCCACTGAAGGTGAAGGACTAAGGCTGGAGCACAGATGGAAGACAGGGGGCGGGAGGAAGGTGGATCCACGGTCCAGAAGCACTGAGGGCTGAAGTGTAATCAAGTCAGCCGGCTTCCTAGAGGGAAAGTCTGAGCCAGACTTGAGAGTTGAAGGAGAGACACAGTTTGGCAGAGAAAGAAGTTGGGGGACTGGCCTGGTGACGGGGCCCAGCTGGCAGGAGAGAGAGGAGCTGCACCCTGCCCCCCACATCGGGCCCCAAGCCAAGGCCTCGAGGCTTCTCCGTGTGGGAGCCGGAGCGCCTCTGCCCCTCGCCGAGCGCGCCGGGTACCTCCTCTCACCTGCCCCGTTTCCAGCTTGCGGATAGCAGTGTTGGCACGCCGCTGCAGCACCTTCAGTGAGGCCTGCAGCTCCCGCCGCTGCCACTGGGGCATCAGAGCAGTGTCCACGGCCTAAGGCCACACACAGTACATCAGCCGCACCCCCGCCAGTCTTGGAGCCAGGAGCCAGCAGAGCAAGGGAAGAGATCACACCCACCACATCCCACCCTGCAGACAACAACCATCTAGGCCAGCAGGAGTCCGCCAGGAAGTGGGGGAGAGCCTGGAAGGGTCTGGGGAGGCATGGGGAAGGGAAGACGGCCAGGAGAGGGTGGGGGACAGTTCCACAGTGGCGGTGACCCTCACATCAGTGAGTCGTCCCATGTCCTTGGAGAGTCGCTGAGCCTCCAGTGCATCCTGGCTGCCCCGACTCAGCCGCTCTGTTGCAGCTTCGACCTCCTGGGCCAGAGCGTGGCCCACCTCTCGGGCCTGCCGGGAGGGAAGAGGACAGTCAGGGCGGCTCGGCTCACTTTCACCTCCCCAGGACGGGCTTCTCAACCCACTGCCAGTCAGGGCCAAATTACAGGCACCCATCAGGCCCAATCAGGGCACCAAATCATCACAACAGATGCCGGCTGTTGGCAGCGCACACGTA